CGCTTATTTTCCTTTCTTTGCATTTTTGCCAATCCTAAGCTCCAAGGAACAAAACCCAAGCTTTTCTCACTCAAAAACCCCACTTTTCCACAATGATGAATAGTGTCACGAATTGGGGGTGAGGAATATTTCTCTCTACAAGCAAAATCAGCCCAAACAAAGCGGTGGAATGGATTCCTTGGTTGATTTCCTATGAATTTCGTGTATGGACTTAAGGATTTGGTTGAGTGTGGAGGGAGAAATCAAAGGAGAAAGAAAACTTGAAAACCTAGCCTTCCATGGAGGAGAGACTCGGCCTTGAGGAGAGAGAGGGAAGGTGAGCTGATGGGAATAGTAACTTTTGGAAGGAAACTTAAGTTATAAGCACATGTGGCTTTCTCAATCGGATGTTTTTCTATCGCGTATTTTAACTTAACGGACCCGGAACTAACTTATATCTACGGAGATATTTTTATTTTTCTAAAATCATTTACATTAATTTTAATTTGTTACTAAACAATATTCATAATTCACAGTATGGTTTTTGCACCGTTTTAACGAAATGCACTGTGAATCACTAACTGTACTTCGCTCACTTCTGAACTTAACTTATAAACTTATCATTTTCTTGGGCCTATTTTGACTTGCTTGGCATATATTGGACTTTCTTATTCTTATTTCATCAATTATTTATTTCTGGACTCTACCGGTTGCTTAAACAGCAGTACAAAATACCCGGTAGAAACACTATTCACGAGATTTTCACGGAAAGTGCCAGACTATACAATTTTTCGTTCTGAACTCATATTTGTCGTCAGAATTATCAAATTATGTCTCTAAAATTATTTTGCTCTTTTTAAGCTCTACTGGTTAATTCACAAAACTGTAAATTCTCCGGCAAAACGCACTGTTCATAACATAGTCATGATTACAGTCAAAATACTCGAAATCGCTCACTGAATCTAATTATGGCATATAAATCCTTAAATTAAATCTCTAACTAAGATTTACCAGTTAGGGTCATTATGATAATACACTCATTCGGTAATTGTATCTGTGTTATATAATCCTTGTTAGTGTAGTTAAGTTGTTTCTAATAAAACATTGTTGCTTCGAGCATTTATTCTTTGAAGTCAAATATAGCAAACTTTGGTTGTTGAGGTTGTAATGTGTGCAATTTCTCAGTGCATCTGATGTGAAGGATTGCATGCTAAAGATTCACACACTCAATTATGCTGAGGAAGCTTGCTACAATCGCACACTGGTTATAAAAGTATTCAGCTCCGGTGTAGAAATAGGTAGTTGTAATTGGCTTCTAAATGGCCCAAAGGGAGATATTGCTTATCTTCCAAGCTCCAGCTTCATTTGTGCTCATGCAATGGCTTTTGATTACAGCAGTCTACAGGGGACTTGTGCCTTAATTTATTCAGATTTCTCATTCTTGAATGATGCCAAGATGTTGAGGATGGAGATAATCACTCTGTTCCAATAGATGATAAGTTATTATATTCAACTGGATTCAACCTTATCTCTGATGAGAATTTAGAAGAAAAGGAAAAAGTGGTTTTCAAATTCTCATGTGCTATAGAGTGTGTCAAAGTTGGTGGTTCGGTTCTTATTCCTATTGATCGACTTGGAACTATTTTGCAGCTTTTGGAGGAAATTACAAAATCACTCGAAGCTTCAGCTATGAAGGTACCGTTTCTTTTTTTTATTATGTTCTCTGTTGAATGGTATTCAAAATCAACGAAAAACTGAGTATGGAAATATGGAAAATATTTTTGGGGTGTCATTAATTATCCTTGTTTAAATTGTTGTTTACTGTCCTGCGAAACCTCATATCCATATCCTTTTTAGTTGCTTGTTCCTACTCATTGGTAAAATGCCTGTCTTTAGCCATCTATTTGACTTTTACCTCAGGTTCTGTTTGTTTCTCTTATTCTCATTTTATTTGCTAAGAGAGTTAGACCCGTGATATTGTTTTCCAGTGTTTATTGTTTAAAATTTTATTGCTTTTTATTTTCCTTTTTGTGCTTGTAATGGGAAAGACAGGGAAATTCAAAATTCCATCTTTGAAAGTTTGCAAATAAACATATATGGCAAAAGGATTTTTTGGGTGCAAAATCTGAGATGCCCATACTGATTTCTACTATTTATTATTAATTATTTTTATATTTGTAGGTTCCAGTTTATATAATTTCTTCAGTGGCTGAAGAATTACTGTCATTGCTTAACATCATACCAGAGTGACTTTGCAAACAGCGCCAAGAAAGAGTACAGACTTTTAGAATTATGACTTTGGTCTGTTGCACTTGTATACTTCGATTAAACAAATTTGACTTTTGTTTTATTACTTTAATTGATGCTGCAGCTATTTGCTGGGGAGCCATTGTTTGCGCACTTCAAGCTCCTAAAAGAGAAAAAGATTCACGTGGGTTCCTACTATTCATTCACATCAACTCTTGTGAGATTTTTAACTTTAGTGTCTTTTTGCACTGTATGTTTTCTTGCAATGTTAATTATTTGGGGGAAAATTGTGTTTCTTAACTTGACTTTGACTTTCTGTTAATACCCTCAGAAGGTATACGTTCAATTTTAACAAATTGCATGAGTCACTTATGGTTTGTCTAGTCTTTTTATTGTTATTTGCTCACAAAAACTGATGTACTGCTCTCAGAATGAATTGGCAGGAACCCTGCATTGTATTTGTCATCACTGATGTCTGCATATGGGTCCTGTTGTTCATCTGCTTCGACGTTGGTAACTTGGTATGGTGATCCAAAATCTTTACTTATCCTTCATGTGTGATATATTCCTCACATAATATAAGTTCTAATGATGCTTCATTGCAGTCATTTTATTCCTTGATTTTTTTTAGTTATAGAAATGTATCTTGATATGTGTGGTCTTGTAAGTTCCATCCTTTTAATGAAGTTGGGAAATGGCTTTGACCTATGTTTAATTACATTTACTTTTTTCAGGATGTGTTGAATCCTGGTGCTTCAATGTCTGTTTCCCTTCGGAATTGGGTAGGTTTACCTTTCCCTTAGTTACTTCTTCCAACATGCAGATTCATGTATACATCTCATTGTTCTTGCAAATAATTTTCAAAATATGTATAAACATTAACCGGTTAGTAACATTTTATAATTTTGTCTCCCAAGGAACATAATAAGGGAGAGAAAAACCTGTCAATAATATAAATCAACCCTACTAAACTGTTTCTTTCCAGATGATTGTAGAATTAACAGTGTGTGGATGGGCTCCTTGATATGTCCTTTTTCCTGCCCCCATCTCGAAGCATCTCTACTTAAGTTTTTTCAAAATGTTCATTTTTTTGAAATTTAGTCAATAAAGAGTGAAGTCTCTGCTGATGATCATTTGATTTATGTATTTAGCTTTCTCTGCATTTTTTTGATTTCCACATTTTAGGTTGCATAAAGTTCAACCTTTGCTGTAGAGACTGCAACTGAAGACTGTTCTGGTAATTGTACAAAATTTACTTTATAATACATACAGTTCTTTTTTGCTATTGAAGATTATACATGTGATGAACTGATGATCTGTTTTCGTTTTTTTACTTCTTTCTTATTCTCTAGTGCCCCGAAGATTTGAGGATGCGGAACAGTTTTTCAAGTGAAATGCCTTTCTCAGTTTTGTACTATATTGAAGCTGAAACTTTAAAGGTACCATACCGAAAAGACAGTTCAGAGTTAAAAATTGCAACTGATTTGGCTTCCTAATTTTATTGGATAACGTTTAAAAAGGAAGAAATCAATATTGCAAGATTAAAGGGGAGCTGTTAATGGAAAATGCTAGACATCACTTGCTCTTGGATAATGAGAGAAAAAATTCCTTAAGAAATAGGCCTTTGGTACATTGGGGTTTACCTGATTCTGAAAAGCTTCTGGCGGCATTATCAAAGGTGGGTATTAATGCATCTATGGAACATAGTATGAGTGATGCTGAATCACAAACTGTATGTAAAGTTCACACACAAGACCCTTACAAAGCCTTGATAGAGATTGGAACCACCGGTACCATTATTACTACCGCTGATGAGAATGTGGCTTCCCTCATTTATAAAGCTGTGAATAGCATTTTGGATGGGGTTTTGACATACTGCATTTTCTTTTATTGATGTTTGTAAAATCCTTCTAACAGAACATTATTCATAGATATCAGTTAATAATGCAACTATCCGTATTCAACTAATGCTGATGAGAACGTGACTTCTCTTATTTATAAAGATGTGGACAGCATTTTGGATGGAGTTTTGATATAATGGATTTTGTAAAATACTTGTATCAGAATATTATATTATTCATAGATATCAGTTAATAACATCTATCAGTATTCACTGCTTTGTATTTTAGATCAATGGAATATGTACAGCTGCCCCATTATTAAACAATATTAATCAATGTAATAGTTGGAGAGAGACTTTCTTCTACTTTAATTTTTTATTATCAAGTGATGACTGAAAGATCACGGCAACTTCTTTATGCATAAAAATATACAAGGGGAGACTGTATATAAAAATTGCCTCGAACCCTATCCTTGTCCATAGGAATTTAATGAAGAGTGATTTTTTGATTAATTTTTCTTGTTCTTGGATCATGCCAAGTAAATCCTTTCCGAAATTTCTGCTTAACCTCATTTGTTGTAATGTGAAGTAATGGAAATAGGAAAATAAATTATTACATGTTGCATTTATAGATAAGAGAGCCCGGTCAAATTATTGGAATTAGTACAACCCCATTATTAAATAGTATTTGTTGATGTAATAGTTGCAGAGAAACTGTCTTCTTTTTTAAATTTTTCTTTTCCTTCCGGAAAATAAATTATTACGTGCTGCTGTTAGACTCAAGTTGATTTGGTTAAATTAATAGAGTTAGTAGACCTATTCCATTTCACTTGATAGAAGAATACGCTACCATCTTATAGATAGCTTCTGAGGTTTGTGGATCACACTCAGATCCCTTCTTCGTGCTCAATATCCTCTGTTTGTATACAGAAGATCATGGAAAAGGAAAACCTCGTCGTTACGGCGCTTCTTTCGTCTTTCTTTCAAGTGACTTTTGACAGGTTGTTTTCAAGTAATCTCATAGACTACTTCCGTAGAAGCAAACTTGAAGATGTGCTGGTGGACAAACTTAAGATTACTGTTGATTCTATCAACAAAGTGCTGGACGAAGCAGAGACAAAGCAGTACCAAGACACATCGGTGAAGGAGTGGCTTGATGAAGTTAAACATGCTGTGTATGAGGCTGACAAGTTGTTAGATGAGATTGCCACTGATGCACCACTCAAGAAGCTTAAAGCTGAATCTCAAACTGCTGCCAGCCAGGTACGAGGCTTCTTTTCGGCTTTTACTGCTAATCCATTTGAATCTAGGCTCAAAGAATTGCTACAGAACTTAGATTCTCTTGAAAAGCAAAAGGGAAAGTTAGAATTGAAAGAAGACACTCGCGCTAGCAATGAAGGTGGAGTTAGTTGGAAACTCCCTAAAAGATTGCCAAGTACATCTTTGGTGGGACTATCGAGCACCATATATGGTAGAGATGAGGATAGAGAGCAAATAATCAAATTTTTACTTTCAGACAATGTCAATGACAACTCTGTACCTATAATTAGCATAGTGGGTATCGGTGGGATGGGTAAGACCACCCTTGCTCAGCTCGTGTACAATGACCAAAGCTTGAAGGAGCAGTTTGAACTTAAAGCTTGGGTCCATGTGTCAGAATATTTTGATATTGTTGGAGTTACAAAAGCAATTCTTAAGTCATTCCAGTGTTCAGCAGATGCTGAAGAATTGAATTCACTTCAACTTGAATTGCAGAAGACACTAATGGGCAAGAAATATTTGCTTGTTCTAGACGATGTCTGGAATGAGAATTGGGCAAGTTGGGAAGCCTTACAAGTTCCTCTTAATTATGGATCTTCTGGAAGTAGAATTCTTGTCACAACACGTGATAAGAAGGTAGCATCAGCCATGAAATCCACCCAACTACTTCCTTTAAAGGAATTGAAGAAAGATGATTGTTGGAGTTTATTTGAGAGACATGCTTTTCACAACAAGAATGTAAGTGAACATCCAAATCTTGAATCAATTGGCAAGAAAATCGTTAAGAAGTGTGGAGGGTTACCTTTAGCTATAAAAGCATTGGGAAATCTCTTGCTAATAAAATTCTCTCAAAGTGAATGGGTTAAGATATTGGAGACTGATATGTGGCGTCTATCTGTTGATAGTAACATTAACCCGACAGTGAGATTGAGTTACCATGTTCTTCCTTCGAATCTGAAGCGTTGTTTTGCTTATTGTTCTATGTTTCCCAAAGGCTATCCGTTTGAAAAGGATGAATTAATCCAGTTTTGGATGGCAGAAGGTTTGCTGAAGTGCTGCGGAACAGATAAAAGTGAAGAAGATTTGGGTGATGAATTCTTCAATCAGCTTGAGTATATTTCATTTTTCCAACAATCAGCAGGCAGTTTCTTCGTGATGCATGATCTTGTCAATGATTTAGCAAAATCAGTGTCAGGAGAATTCTGTTTACGAATAGAGGGTGATCTTATCCCAAAGCTGTTAGATAGGGTGCAAGATATCCCTGATAAGACACGTCACATTTGGTGCTCAAATGATATAAAAGACGGTGATAAAATATTAGAGCATATTTACAAGTGTAATGGATTACGCAGTCTGATATGGAAACGAGGTGCCCGAGGCTTCAAGATATGCAACAATGTACAACATGCTCTGTTTTCGAGACTTAAATATTTGCTGGTGTTATCATTCAGATATCATGATCTCTCAGAGCTAGATGATGAGATAAGCAATTTAAAGCTTTTGCGCTATCTAGACCTTTCTTACACTGAGATTAAAAGGTTACCTGATTCCATTTGTGTGCTGCATAATTTGCAGACTCTGAAATTGGAAGATTGCCATAATTTGACTGAGCTCCCTTCAGATTTTTATAAACTCATCAATTTACGACATCTTCACCTGGAAGGCACTCGAATAAAGAAGATGCCAAAGCATATAGGAAGGCTAATCCATCTTCGGACGCTGACTCATTTTGTTGTGAGAGAGAATGGTGGATCTGATATTAAGGAGTTGGCCAAACTCCACCATCTTCAAGGAAGACTTAACATTTCAGGGTTGGGAAATATCACTGATCCTGCAGATGCCGCAGAAGCCAATTTGAAAGATAAGAAACATTTAGAAAAATTATTGTTGAAGTTCCATGAAAGAACAGAAAGCCAATCAACGAGTGGAGAAAACGATGACTTAATATTTGAAATGCGTGTCTTGGAGGCACTTCAACCAGATAGCAACCTGAATAGCCTCACTATCAGATACTATCGTGGCAATAGCTTTTCAGATTGGCTTGGGGATTCTCATTTTTCCAATTTAGTGTCTATGAACCTGGGTGGATGCCGATTCTGTTCAAGCTTGCCACCACTTGGGCTGCTCTCCTCCCTCAAGGAGCTTTTTATTTCAGACTTTGATGAAATAGAGATAATTGGTAGAGAGTTTTACGACAATTATTCATCAAATGTTCCATTCAGGTCCCTTGAAATTTTTGAAATTGAGAATATGCCCAAATGGAAGGAATGGTTCTGTCCGGATGATGGTGAATGTTTCCCATTTCTTAAAGAGCTTTCAATTCAAAACTGTCCGAAGTTGAAAAGTGGGCTGCCTCAACACCTTCCTTATTTGAAAAAACTGGAGATTAGTGATTGCCAAGAGCTTGAGGCTTCACTTCCCAAGACTCCTAATGTTGGGGAGTTACGACTTGATGGATGTGAAAACATTTTGGTAAATGAATTGCCATCCACCTTGAAAAAAGCCTTCATTAGTGGTACTGGAGTCCTTGAGTCCTACCTGGAGCAAGTTCTATTGAATAATGCTTCTCTTGAAGTGTTAGTGCTTACAGATTTTAATGGTCCAGATCTAAAATGCTCCTCTTTGGATTTGCGTTGCTGTAATTCTCTTCGCACACTGTCTTTTAGAAGCTGGTACTCCTCCTGGTGGCCTTTCTCACTAAGCTTGTTCACCAATCTTCATTCTCTGTACTTGAATGATTGTCCACAGCTGATATCATTTCCTGGGGAATGTTTTCCTTTGAGTCTAAGCATCCTCTATATAAGGAACTGCCCCAAACTGATTGCTTCGAGAGAGGAGTGGGGTTTGTCCAAACTTCATTCTTTGAAAGATTTCAGTGTTACTGACGACTTTGAAAACGTGGAGTCTTTCCCGGAGGAGAGTCTGCTGCCACCTAATATTAATATTCTCTACTTGGAGAATTGTTCAAAGCTAAGAATAATTAACAAAAGGGGTCTTCTCCACCTCAAATCTCTCAAATACCTATATATTTGGAATTGCCCTCGTGTTGAGTACATGCCAGAGGAGGGTCTACCCAACTCTCTTTTTGCTTTATCGATTTGCAATTGTCCATTCCTTAGGCAGCGGTACCGAAAGGAGGAAGGCGAGCATTGGCATAAAATTAGTCACATTCCTTCTGTGTCTATTTGGTAGCAGCTGAAAGAGATGTTACTAAATGCACAGGTGCACCACATTTCTCCATCTGCTTACATTCAGTGCTTTACCTATCAAACCATCTGTATATTTCATGTTGGAATAGTGTCTTGTGTTTGTGACTTTTCGTCACACAAGATTTTTGTCATACTGCTTTGACCTTGACTTTGACTGTGACACTTTTTGGAAATATGTGTATAGCTCTTATATTTATTTTGCTAAAATCTGATTTTTACAAACACACAGTGGAGGAACAGAGATGAAACTTTCGGATGATAATAAAAAAATCCTAGTTATATTGTTTTTAATATAGTAACAACTTGTCAAAGGAGTAGTCGATTAATTTAGTTTATAATTACTTCAATATTCATTCATTAAATATAAATTTTATAATGGGATAAGTTATGCATTGAATTTATTCCCACTTATAATTATTAAATAATCGGAATGTTATTTATGCAATTTACGTTACAAATATAGATTTTGAACTGTCATTTTCCTTGAGGTCTTGTACTCATGCGTGAATGATTATAGGATACATATCTTTAGCATTATACATAACTTGAATCATATCATCTTTTCGCTAGCCTACTTTCCTAGTGGTTTCAGTGGTTGATATTGTTGTTGTTCTTTACCACCCAATACATCTGCATTGCAAAATTGTATTGGCTTTTGGTTTGATGTATATTGTTAACGTTATCAAAGTTAACATAATACACTAAGATCAAGTTATCAGATACATTCTGGCATGAGATACCTACCTAACATGTGATCCTACATTATAACAGATATATAAGGTTATGATTGGTTTCTTGGAACTTAATTATACTTGCTCCTTTCACAAACGTAGAGAATGACATATAGACCAAAAAAAACAAAAACATGGAACCATAGGTGCTTATTAATGTTTTCCTTTCAGCCGGCATTCTTTTGAACAACTGTTTCTTCAAATTATAGAAATTGTTCTCCATGCCCCTATGAATGCATTTTGTCTGTACTCTTTTTTTTTTTTTTGGGTAAACAAATTTGTCTATACTCTATGTATGTAAGTATTGGTCTAAAATATAATATTGTGCTGTGTGTTGTTGTAAATTAATTCCACCAAATGCATTGCTGCACAAAGGGAAAAAAATTTATTATATTCAATGTTCAATTCACTTGGCTGCACCTAATTGTCTGCTCTTCATACAGAGATGTTGAAGTTCAGGGTTGTTGGATATTGGGGACTTTGAGACGAATGCATGTTGTGGATTTTGAACTAGCCAAGTTCTTGCATCACCCTGGAGCTTCTCAATCAATGTCTCTTCATTTGGCTCCTATGCCTGTGTTTTCCTCCTTTCCTTTACTTAGATTACCACCTCATCTTTTCTATTTTTGTTACTTTTTTCTTTTGTACTCTATATTCTGTTTGTTTAAGATATTGGCATTCGGAAGATGTCCGAAAATTTTTGAACTGGAAATCTAAACCATTTAATTTTAATAGAGTGGTTTTGTTTTATGCTATATATTTTTCATTTATATATGATTTCGATATTATCAATATGTATTTGGCTATGATAATAACTGCATGAGAAATGGTTACTTTTTTTTTTTTTTTTTGGTAAATAGAAATGGTTACTTTTATTGACGCTAAAATGGTTTGTTTGAAATATTAATTGACTGTGTGTTTAAGAAATACAATATCTTTGAATGTAAATTATTATACACAAGTTTTAAATGCTTATAAACCTTGTTTTTTAATTTCAAGTTTGATCTTTATTGTTTATATTGCTATCTTGACAATGTTCATGTCAAAGTATGTTTTTTTGATTACATGACAGTTCATTTAAATGAATTGTCTACCAAAATAAATAAATGAATTTGATAAATAAACTTGATAAATTTTTAGTTCTTACATATGAAACACCCCGTTCTAGAACCGGTTTGTTAACATCGCATTACGATATTAAGTGCAGTTACAATCACGTTGGCTCAATTAAAAATCCGGATAAATTTTTCTTTTTAAAACGACGCCGAATTTAAAATATCTAATTGTGTGATCATAACCATATTACCTTGCGGAATCAGATAAACCAAGCTTAACATCATGTTCTTATTCCATTTTTAAACCATTAATTTACTTCTTATTTATTTCACAACTTCTACTATATCGTAGATCTCTTCGTTAGCTACACGTGGGTTCAAACCGCGCTCAAATCGGAGCAATGTAGCCCAAGTTATGGGTTTTCTACGAAACGCGTGCGCGAATCCTGCTAATCCCTGTGGCGCGGAGGGCGCCAACGAAACAGCTATGGCGCTGGAGGCGCCAAGGTTGGCGCCAGGTGCGCCAGCTGGTGATCCCGGCGCGATTTGCGCCAACACCAGCATGATTTGCGCCACGAAACAGAAGCTTTCGAGCACAATGGCGCGATGTGCGCCATGGTTGGCGCCAAGTGCGCCAGAGTTCAGAAGGTTTCACCCAGTCTTAGTATTTTACCTCTAACTAGAGTTGTACTTGTCCAAATTACACAATATTGGTCTCTATGGAAAGCTAAGAAAAATATCTACAACTTCCATACATACACCACAGTCCAAATCTATCATATAAATTCCTCTCCATAGATGGTTCTTAGTTCTTGCATAATACAAACACATCTAAAGGGACATGCATGCCCTTTTCCTCGTGTCTTGTACTAAAATTTGGGCAGCATAACCTTTGTTTTCTCAATAATTCCCAATTTAGAACTAGGTACCTAATGTGATTTCTCAGCCCAACCAATTCAATAACTCAATACATAAAAGCATGCATATATTGAATTTCAAGTAGGCATCATTTACAGTACATACTCATTACAAATCATGGAACTTAGCTTACAAAACACTATGATCATTCACTTGGCTCCCATCAACAAAAGAGATGACCAAAGGCATGAGCATAGGCTAAGTCCATTCCAATATACAAATCATAAATCTATCATTGCCTATTAATTACAATTCTATACATGTGAGCTACAAAACAACATGTATAATCTCATAAAAATGCAACACTTCATGCATATGCTAATCCAGATATGGCCACTTGCCACCAGAGGCTCCTGCAGCATCCTTACCTGAAAGGGGGTCCCCACAACACGGGGTGAGATATACGAATATATCCAGTAAACCAGGGGTCCTTGGAGCATCTCTCCACCCCACAGTTCCATATCAGTGTAATAGCAATAACAATAATAATGCAGTAAATACATATCTATGCAAAGTGCAATAACATCTCCAGGAGAAATTCCGCGAGCTCTCAAGCTGTCCTAAGGAAACTCAGATGCAAATAGTCCTACTAGACAGCTAACTACCAAGTATGATTTACGCATCGTCATGCAACATACCAACATAGGGAAACACCATCCTATGCCACACCAAATGCATACACATACGTATAACAAAGCATTACACTATTTCATTGCATTTATATACACTATCAACAACCACTACCCTTTCAGGGCTTGGTGGAACAATCAAGGGAATTACACCCAAGGTCCGAAGGCTTACCTCAAGCTTTAGCCCACCTTTGTTCCCACCAACAGGTTCCACAGTCAGTTAATTACAATACTCCACTTCTCAAACAAAACCTACACAAGGTTTAATGCAATTAACACATATTGCATCCAATAACATCTCATAGCTATCAACCAAGCTATACAATTCATACCAAACATAAGCATGAACTTACCTATCCAATGGAGCTAATCAAGCTCCATAGCTTGCTCCAATGGTTGGTCTCTCAAGGTTGGTCCAATTGCCTCAATCCTAGACAACACCAAGGCATAATCAACAACCAACCAAACCAAACCATTTATCAACAATGCAAGAAATCCAATATCTATGTATCATATTCTTGCCATTTTTCAAATATACTCATCTAGCTATCTAAGCTCATTTTCACCGATTAAATGTCGTTCCTAACATTTTTCACAACATGCTCTAAGCTCCATTCTTCCTAGAACATAGCTAATTTAACCACATTTCATCACAAACCCCAATTTACTATTCATTGAACCCTAACTCATGCAATTTTCCATGAAAATAAGGTTCAAGGGGTAGAATCTTACCACCAATGGTTGCACAACCAAGTATTGATGGCTCCTCAAACTTCAATGGAGGTTGAAGCTCTCAAACACCTCGATTTCTCCAAAGGGCCGAATTTTTTAGGGGCAATAACTCACCACACAAAGCTCCCCACTAAGAACTAAGCTTGGATTATGAAAAGGGGAAGATTTAGAGTGGTTTAGGCTTTTGAATCACTCCAATCGGTGGAGGATTGCTCTCCTTAGGGTTTCTCTCTCTTTTCCTCTCCTTCCTCTTCTTCTCTTCCTTCTTCTTCTTTCTGGTGCTGGCGACGGGAAAATGGGGAGGGAATTGGGTTCTTTTTGTGTTTTTAAGTCACTTAATAGTTAAGTGGCTTATGTGGGTATTGGTTTATCTATCTATTCAACTCCATTAATTACCAAACTTTACCCAAAAGTCTGGAATATTTTTCTAGGAATATTTCCATTTTTATTTCTGTATTTTGGGCACTTTTGCCAGTACCCATTTATACCCCTTAATTTTCACTGAGTACACTTTTTAACTCCAAAGTGACTCAGATTCATTTAATTAAGCCTTATACTTAATTTTACTCACTAAAACATGCTTAATTATTTAATTACATGTAATTTGCTAATTAATTAGGTTAGGGCTATTATAACATATATTACAATTTTTATTTTTATAACAAAGAAGATCTAAGACATAATATAAAAAGAGGAATGATAAATTACACGTAAATCATGTTACTTCAATAAGGTTTGACCATCGAATCAAATAATTTTCAAAAAGATTTAGTGCCACTTAAATTAAGGATCTTAAAGTAAGTGAAAATTTTTAAGTTTTAAAAATTCAGTAATTGATTAAATTGTGAAATTTATATTATACTAGAAGTGAATCAGAGTAAGTAATAGAAATGAAGAAAAATGATAACATTGTATTATGAATAAGATTCTACACACAGCCTGATATATAGGTACGTCTAATACATAACCAATAAACAGAAAACATAAGCTAGTAAATAACAAACTCAATACAGTTAAAACTAACTAGCTAACTGGCAATGTGCCAACTCAGCATGCTAACAGAAAGCAGTTATTTCTCTCATGATCAGTTCTGGATATGTGAGTTTCAGAAGCTGCATGGGAGCTTCTTGGCGATACTGCAATATTGGTGGAATGCAGCTGATGGTCTTGAGAAGATTGGGCCTGCGAGTTGGGCTGGGAATTGGGCTCCTGTAATACCACCCCCCCCCCCCCCACAAGATGGGCGCAAGACATTAGCAAAGCCCAGCTTGGAAGTGTTCAACCGGAAAGTAGTAGCAGACAATGGTTTAGTGAACATGTCAGCCAACTGAGCCGAGGAAGAGACAGGGAGCAAGCGAATTAAACCCGAAGCAACCTTTTCATGAGTAACATGGCAGTCGAGTTCTATATGTTTAGAACGTTCGTGAAAAGCAGCATTGTGTGCAAGATAAATCGCAGAGCGATTATCACAGTAAACAGAAGCAGCTCGTGACCAAGAGAGATGAAGATCTTGGAACAAGAACTGAAGCCATTGGAGTTCACAGGTTAGACTGGCTAGAGCATGGTATTCTGCTTCAGAGGAGGAGCGAGAAACCGTGGTTTGTTTCTTGGATTTCCAAGCCACCAAGGAAGAACCAACGAAAACACAGAAACCAGTGACTGAACGGCGAGTGTCAGGGCAACAAGCCCAGTCTGTATCTGCAAAGGCACGGACATTGAGACAACTGCTGAACAGCAAAGCAGATGTCAGGACGCATTGTGGTTAGGTAGAGTAGACGACCAATGAACCGTCGATAAGAAGCCGCATCAAGAAGAGGAGTTCCTATCGTACGACTGAGTTTCAAGGAGGCATCCATAGGAATGGACACAGGTTTACAAGCCAATAAACTAGCATCAGATAACAGTTCAAGTGCATACTTGCGCTGGTTAAGGACGATTCCTTCTGTGGAACGGGCAACTTCGAGACCAAGGAAAAAGCGAAGGTTGCCAAGTTCTTTTATTTTAAACTGTTGATCAAGAAATCTCTTGACACGTTGGATTTCACTGATGGAATCTCCAGAAAGAATAATGTCGTCAACGTAAATAAGAAGAACAGTGAATGAAGAAGACGTTTGTAAAACAAACATGGAGTGTTCTGCAGTGGCTTGTTAGTAGCCAATAGAGGACAAAGCTGAGGAGAGCTTAGCATACACTGGTGAGACGCCTGTTTGAGGCCATAAAGGGACTTCTGCAGCTTACAAACGAGATTGGGTTGAGGAACATGAAGGCCCTGAGGTGGCTGCATATAAACATCTTCATGCAGGTCACCATGGAGGAACACGTTGTTCACATCCAGCTGTTCAAGGTGCCAACCTTTCATAGCAGCCACGGCTAGTAAGGTTCTGACAGAGGTGAGCTTTGCCACGGGTGAAAACGTATCGA